ATCAGGAAGGGTGAGGCTCTGTGTTTCTTGTCTGATAAAACCGTTGGCTACATCTACACTGAATTACATCTACATTTGGCGCCCAACGTGACAAGAATCCGTTAAAAACCGTTTAACTGCTGAGCTGGATTCACACCTTGGACACTAGGTGGCTGTTTTGAAATTCCCTTGGATTTGCACTGTTCTACGAGGACTTAGTTATCCAATATTTTAAAGGAAACTATTTAACAGAGAAATTTTTTTCCACATTTAAAAAAAAATGGGTTTTCTGTGTTCATTAGAAGAAAATTGGGCTTTGTTTGCAATTTTAGACAGTCTAACAATGGAACAGCTATATGAGAAGATTAATGTTGATAGAATTATGCATTTTATTACTATATTTATTCTCATTTTACTATTTAAGAAGATAGTCAATTTAAGTGCCAGGGTGACAGCTTTAGAAAAACTTGATACACCTGTAAAAACTCAGACAGAAGATACTAACAGTGAAGTTGCTTCAAGATTGGACCATAGGGTTACAGAAAGAAAGCCTGTTTTCACACAGTCACCCTTAGTTTGTCCAGTAACTGTACAGCAGTTGCCTGATCAAATGACTACACAAAATATTTGGGCTCCATTTGAAATGTTAGATTTACGAAGGTTTAAGGAGGCAATAGTATCTTATGGCATGCATTCCCCATATGTAAAGCAAATGTTAAACTCTTGGTCAACATATAATAGGATTGTACCACAGGATTGGCGGGAGCTGGCACAAGCTGTTCTGGAACCCAGTCAAAGGCTTCAGTGGCTAACTTGGTTCAAGGATGAAGCTAAAAACATAGAAAAACAGTGGAGGGATAAAGGAATACAAGTCTGCCAGGATCAGCTTATTGGAGAAGGTCAATATGCTTCAGCACCAGCACAATGTTTATATGATGTCCAAACCCTAATTTTATGTCGAACAGCAGCTTTGAATGCATGGGACAGAGTTGAGGAACCAGGAAAAAAAACTGAGTCATTTACAAAGGTTGCACAAGGCCCAAAAGAATCTTTCACAGATTTTTTACAAAGACTGGCTTCAGCAGTAAAGAGAATGGTCCCGGATTCAGAAGCTGGTAAGATAATAATTGAAACTTTGGCCTTTGAGAATGCGAATGCAGCATGCAAAACAATAATCAGGCCGTTAAAGGCAAGATCTGCACCTTTGGAAGATTGGATTAGAGACACGGTTAATGTTGAAACTCATGAGCATGATGATACGTGGGTAGGAGAAGCAATTTCAAAAGGTTTGAGGAATGTTAGATGTTTTGGATGTGGAAAGCAAGGACATTTGAGAAGGGACTGTAAACAGGTCATTCCTAGAAACAATGTTTCCTCAAGGAACAATGGCAACAGAATGTCCCTTCCTTCTGGAGTATGCAGAAGGTGTGGTAAGGGAAAACACTGGACCAGTGAATGTAGATCAACAAGGGACAGACAGGGTAATCCTTTGCCTCAGTCTTCGGGAAACTCCCAGAGGGGCCTCATGCAGGCCCCAATAGCAAATCCAGTTCAAACCTTTCCTGCAGTCTTGGAGGAAACCCCTACTCAGAGCAATTAAATAACCAAATGCCTATTGGAATAAGTCATGCTGGTCAGGATGATGAAACAGAGAGAATAGAAAATTCAGGAGAAAACATAAAGAAAATTTTTTGGCAAACTTCTATTTCAAACAGAACTCTAAAGGATATGCTAAATAAACAGAAAGGGGTAACAAAAACCCCCAGAAACAGACTGCTTAATGCTCTATTAACTTTGAATTTTCTTAATGCCAATGAGAAAGGAACAACAGCTGCAGAGAGACATTGGATAATAGAAAAAACTACAGAATTAAATCAGCCTATATACTTTAAGGATGTGCTGACCTCAGAATGGAAACCAGGGTATGTGTTACGTTGGGGACGAGGTTTTGCTTTTGTTTCTACAGGAGAAGATAAGTTGTGGGTACCATCAAAATTGATAAAGGTTCGATTTGAACAAGAGAAACCTCTTAATTAGAGGAGGTGATAGTTCATCAACCAACATGAACATCCAATTTAAACTAACATACCAGTGAAAGACCCCCGCAGGTAGTCTTCCCTCTGGAGAGACCCTCGCCCAGAGAGCACACCGAGACCACAAGTCAGATGCAAACAGCAAGAGGCTTTATTCCGGAACACGGGTACCCGGGGCGACACAGTCACTCCAGAAGCTCAGGAGGCTGGCGCGCTCACGGGCTGGAGTGGAGGGTTTTTATATGGTCGGGCAGCAGAAGGGTGGGTTTACAGGGTTCTGATTGGACGATTCATATGAGGCCATGGTTTACAGGGTTCTGATTGGACGATACATATGAGGCCATGGTTTACAGGGTTCTGATTGGACGATACATATGAGGCCATGGTTCAAGCTCAGGTCAGCTCGTGGCTTTTCCCCGAGCTCGACACGCCTGCTGACTTGGCTCTTATCTAGGGTACAAGTTGTTTTTCTGACCTTTTAGTTCCCTGTTCTGAGGCCAGGTGGCCGACCGCAGATACCCTGTTTGTTCCTGTGCCCATGTCCTCTAACTGAACTTTCCCCGTACTTTTCAGGCCTTGCTCAAAATGAAATGGCGTTAGGCTAAGCAAGTATGCTGGGGCCTTTCACCAGTAACACATGTCTTTTCATTTAATCAGATAATAACTTGCCAAAAAGGAACATCCCCAAAATTAGTCTTGGGGAAAGGTTTTTGTTTTTGTCTTTTAGGAGAATGAAGGTTAAGGAATCTGAAGAACACTGGACAAATGAGACAACTGATCAGCTTTGAACTACAAGGTGCTCAGAGTAATTTTGAGATGACTAGCTGAGATGATCCAGTCTCAAAGACTACTTGAATAAGGACTTGAGATAAACCCTGAACTTTGGTATTATACACAGACTGGATAATGAAGGATATGGTTACCTTTCCTAGAATTTGACAATTAACCTAAAATTTTTCTTTCAGGATAAAGATAACTTCGCCCATACCCTGCAGGAAGCAATTTTAAGAATACGACGCCCACATTCCCAAAGAGGTGGTGTGTGGGGGGCAGGTGGTTTTTTGGTCTTTTTAATGGGTTTTGGGTCTGGGATAATTTTCGTTGTTTAGGGGGTTGGTTACAAGTTGTTGTCAAGGGTTAGGAAAAAGGCTAAGCAAAGGAGATTAGATTTAAGGTTCTTGTTTAAAAAAAAAAAAGAAAAAAAAGAAAGAAGAAGAAAAAGACAATTACTAGTTTTAAGTATTTTACATTGGATTGGATTGTTTTATATTGTATACAAGTTATATATATTGGAATTGATATTGTTAGAAAATGCTATATGTATATTTCTAATTGTACTTATACTGTTCATTTAACAATGCAATTTTCTGATCCTTGAATGTTATTATTACCAACTATTAGGATATAAAGAAATGAAAGTTAGTTAGTTATAGTTGAAGATTAGTTAGTTATGTTGAAAGTTAGTTAGTTATAGTTGAAGATTAGTTAGTTATAGTTGAAGATTAATTAGGATAGAAAGTGAATTAGATACATTTTGGACTTAACAAAATAACATAAATAATGAAATTATTTTCTCTGAATTTGTCAAATACAAATGGACTAGAAATTATTTAGACATTGTATATAGTTATTGTACTTTTGTATGTAGTTTTTCTTTTGTTAGTTATAACCTTTTTCTTTTTTTTTTTTATTAAATTAGAAAAGGGGAAATGTGGTGGTATTTTATGTTAATAAATAAAGTTGCCTGGGGTCAGAGCCTTTAGAGCCATAGCAAGTGCGTGGCAGTGGTGGCGTACGCCTTTAAGGACCTGGAGGGCGGTACATACAGGCAGTGACGAGGCAGTCACATGATTGGGTTTTCAACCAGTGAGAAGCCAGAACAAAGAAACTATAGAAACAGACACAGAGGAAGTAGGGCTCTCTTTTTCAGAGAGCTCTCTTGGCTGAGGAGGATCCCTGAATCAGGAAGGGTGAGGCTCTTGGCTCTGACCTCTTGGCTTTCTTCTCTGAATCGGCTCTGTGTTTCTTGTCTGATAAAACCGTTGGCTACATCTACACTGAATTACATCTACATACTACAGAATTGTATTACATCAGATATATAGAATATACAAATTCATAGAGACAGAAAGATTAGATGTTATCTCAAGATGGAGAACAAAGGAATATAGAGCAATGATTTCCTAAGTACAGAATCTCTGTTTTATGTGATGGAAAAGTCCCACAAATGGACAGTAGTGTCAGGACATAATATCATGAATGTAATAAATCAATACAATTAATGTAATTAATGAATATCATAAATGCAGTTATTGAATGAATACTGCAAATGTAATCAAAGAATACCACAAATGTAATTAATATCATGAGTGTAATTAATGAATACCATGAATGTAAATAATAAGTAAATAAGTAAATAAATGAAAAGAAAGGTCTGCTAATTGCCAAAAGTAACCACAAACAGAAGTGTAAGGGAGCAATTTACTGGACCAAAAATTAAGACATACCATAAAACAAGTTCATAAGAACAGGAGCAGGCAGGTAGAATTTAAAAACAAAAAAGTTCTGAAATAATCAGGAGGCAGAGGCAGAAGAATTTCTCTGTGTTTGAGGACAGCCTCAGCTAAATAGTGAGTTCCAAGACAGCCAGGGTTATATAGAGAAACCTGTCTCAAAACAAACAAACAAAAAGCCCTAAACCCAGCTCTGAAATAAATTCACTTACATATGGCAGCTTAATTGAAGAGAGCTCCACATAGTGACAAGAAATGATTCCATAGCTGTGATAAGTGCTGTCAACTTGCGAAAATCTAGAATCATGTGGACCTGTGCCTCTTAGCATGCCCATGGGGAACCGTCTTGATAACCATACCTGGGGCGCCACTGTGGTGGCGCCATTCTCTGACTGGGATCCTAGACTGTGTCAGTGGGGAAAGAGAAGTGAGCTACAGTTTGGACTCATCACTCATCTCTGCTTCTTTACTGCAGATGCAACATGACTCGCTAGCCTAAGCCCCTGCCGTTGTGACCTCCTCTACCACGATGGACTAATGGACCATAACCTTGGGTGATGGTGAGCTGAAGTGAACCCTTGACCCGTTAAGGCTCTTTTGTTAGGGCATTCTGTCACAGCGACAGAATAGAAACTAAGACAGTGGCAAACAGTGAGAAAAATAAAAGTGGATCATTTCTCAATATGGGATTCAGAGATGGGCTCTAAGTGGGTTGAGAATTCAAATGTTGAGGGGCTGGAGAGACGGTTCATCCGCTTAGAGCAGGGGCTACACTTACAGAAGACCCAGGTTCTGTTCCCAGCACCCACATGGTGGCTTATAACTTCAACTCCAGTTTCAGAGGATCTGATCTCTTATGACCCCTGGAAGTACCAGGCAACATGTGGTGCACATGTACACTTACTTGTAGGCAAAATCCTCATATACATAAAATACAAAAAAAAAAAATCTCAATTTGTATGAAAGAATTCAAGTGTGAAAAATAATGTGAATTTTTGGTTGTTGTTGTTGTTGTTTTTCATTTTTCAAGATAGGAGGGTTTCTCTGTGTAAATCTGACTCCCCTGGAACAACTCTGTAGACCAGGATGGCCTCAAACTCGGAGATCTACCTGCCTCTGCTTCCTGAGTGCTGGGATTAAAGGCGCGCACCACCTCCTCACCACCCCATCCCCCCACTCCTGGCTAGTAATGTGAATTTTAAAGTATTCAAATGTGAAAGACTAGAACAAAGAAAATAAATCGATTAAAAAATTCTGGGGTTGGGGATTTAGCTCAGTGGTAAAGCGCTTGACTAGCAAGTGCAAGGCCCTGGGTTCGGTCCTCACCTCTGGAAAAAAAAAATTCCTACCACCTTGGACAATGAACTAATTAAAGAAAACTTTTTAAAAACTCTAATAGCTAAAATAGATCTTAAATTTCTCATCATACACATGAAAAAAGTCTGAAGTGAAAAATGTATTAACTAGCTTGATTTAATTATTATACAATGCAAAAAGCAAAACATATTACCCTTCATAAAGATGTATTTGTTAATAACATTATTTATTTTTATGTATATGAATGTTTACTTGTATGAAAGTGAACCACATGTATGCCCGGTGCCCCTCTGAGTCCAGAAGATGGTGTCAGATCCCCTGGAACTAGAGTTACAACAGATAGTTGTGGCATACCGTGTAGATTCTGGGAATCAAACCTGGGTCCTCTGCAAGAGCAGCAAGTGCTCTTAACCACTAAACAATCTCGCCAATTAGTATCATTTTAATCCAGCAGAAGACGCCCCCACATGCTCATTTACAAGTTCTAAGTGACAGATTTACCACTTATTCCTAGGCCCTGGGGCCTGCCAGCAAACTTGGCTTCACACTGAAAAGTACAAGGCCTGAAGGGGAGTCCCCAGAAACCTTTAGCCACAGGCTGCTTGTGTAGAATTCATGAGATTATCTATGGTTAAAAGTTAAGAGGTAGGCTGGAGAGATGGCTTGGTGGTTAAGAGCACTGGCTGCTCTTCCAGAGGTCCTGAGTTCAACTCCCAGCAACCACATGGAGGCTCACAACCATCTATAGTGGGATCTGATGCCCTCTTCTGAAATGAAGGTGTACTCATATACATAAAATAAATAAATTTTAAAAAATGCCAGGCAGTGGTGTCGCACATCTTTAATCCCAGCATTAGGGAGGCAGAGGCAGGGGGATCTCTGTGAGTTCAAGGCCAGCCTGTGCTACAGAGTGAGTTCCAGGAAAGGCGCAAAGCTACACAGAGAAACCCTGTCTTGAAAAACGGGGGAAAAAAAAAAGGTATGAGGCTGGGTTTGATGAGGAACCATCCTTTAATCCCAACATTCCAACAGGCAGATCTCTGTTACTTTGAGGCTAGCCTTGTCTACATAGCAAATTCCAGGCCCGCAAGAGTTATGTGGTGAGACCCTACCAAAAAAATGGTGACTTATTTCAGGATAACAATGTTGTCTCATATAATATTATAACTCACCCAGATCTATCCCTGAATCTTTTTTGTTTTACTGTTTTGTCGAGACAGGGTTTCTCATCTGAGACAGCGATGTCCTCAAACTCACTCTGTAGACCAGCCTGGCTTCGAACTCACAAGAGATCTGCCTGCCTCTGCCTCCCAAGTGCTGAGATGCGTGTGCCACCACCACCTAGCTATTCTTGGATCTTGGTCAAAAGACTTAATGTTTCTTCTCGTTAGAAATGCCTGGGAGCACAGGGAAGTGTTGTCTAATGTCAGATGAAGGACAGTACTGTCTTCATTTCACCTTGAGCTGCATTGGCTGCTGCTGTTTTTCCACAGTGAATCTTTGCAGCTTCGTGAAAAACAAACAAAACATTCATCCGAGAGAGAGAGAGAGAGAGAGAGAGAGAGAGAGAGAGAGAGAGAGAGAGAGAGAGAGAGAGAGAGAGAGAGAGAGAGAGAGAGAGAGAGAGAGAGAGAGAGAGAGAGCGCCAGCAAACTCTGAGCTCAGCGGCTGCCACACTGTCAGGAGGATATATTTCTTTCCCTTTTCCCAGTTCACCAAAGTGTCTGGGTTCTCCAGACTGGCCTGCAGAACTTTCCAGGTCCTTGACCCCTGCCAGGTTTACGTGATGGCCTCCCGCTTCTTAAAGAAATGGTTTATCTTATGCGTGTATGTGTTTGCCGGCAGGTGTGGATGTACCACTTGCACGCCTGGTGCCTACAAGTCCAGAGGAGGACAACCGATCGTCTGGAGTGACAGGTGGTGCTGAGCCACCTGATGTGGGTGCCGCGAACAGAACTCTGTCCTCGGTTGAGCCACCTCTCCAGGCGCCCTGCCACTGCCCCTAGAGACATCCCCTAGTCACCAGGACCGAGGCCAACCCAACCCCATGGATCCCCACAGCCCCAACAAGGCCAGCGCGATCATATCCTCTGCGCATGCTCACACCCGAGTCTCCGATTAGTCGCTTAGGAGCGTGGGGATGTTTTCCCAGGATGCTCTGCGTTGCTGTCATGGTTGACCCCGTGTGCCTGTCTCCTCACAGGGGACGCTAGTCCTGTGGGTGTCTGGACGGTACCCTTGGCCACCAGACGCCGGCGACTTTGGTCCCTGCTCCTTTCGCTTCCTCCTCCCCCGTGGGACCCTCGCGGGACCCCGAATTGGGTCCAGTGATGCCGGGGGTGACATGGACTCCAGAGCGGGCGCTTCTGAGGGGCTTCTCCACGGAGGCCGAGCGGCTGTTGTGCCAGCAGGAGGGGCGCCTTGGCTCAGGTGGGAGAGCTGTGAGGACAGGGATGCCAGCCCTGGGTACAGAGGAGGGGTCAGCAGGGGGGAAGTTTTGTTCGATGGTCTGAGATCTGGTGCTCTGGGAAAGTTCCCGAGAGACAGACTTGAGCTGATTTTCTTCATTTAGGACTGACATGTAAAAGAGAATTCGTCAGGGGGAAAAAAATCGTGGTTGTAAAAGTATTGAGGCAGGGATGAGCTGGGGAATATGAGGGAATCGTGAGAGCACCTGTGTGTTTGGATTGGCCTCCTGGGAGAGAATATTGAAGGTAGGACCTCAGCAAAGGAAACTTCTGTGTCAGTTAGAATCTTTGTGAATTTCCCAAAGAAGGGTACTACGCCTATTATTATTGTTGTTGTTGTTGTTATTATTACTATTACTACTATTATTATTATTATTTCTGTGTGACCTCCACTTTGCTGCTCATAGTCATTGTAGGTATCCTGTAATTCTAGGAGGGGTGGTGTTGGTAGAGTGAGAAGGATTTGCTGAGACTTAGCGATTCCTGTATAGCCAGCATTCTGTTTATACCGTTTTGTATATTAAAATATCTATGTAATGGATTGTCATTTACACTTAAATTCTGTTGGCTTGCTAGCCTGACTTTATATATATATATATATTACAGATATTGGAGTTTTCTTAGACTTGCTATTGGAAGGGAGCTATGAAGCCATGTTCTTACATTCATTGACACGAAATATATTCAACTCCACAATGATGGCTGGAGAAAAGAATGACAGCTACCTGGAGAAGCAGATAGTAAATTTCCTGGATTGCTCTACGGATTTGGAAGACTTTGGAAGGTAGAATTTTGTTTGAAATTTCCACAGAGAAACATACTTGTGCAGAGGGCTGAAGAGGTGGTTCAGTGATTAAGAGCACTTACTGCTGTTTCAGAGGACTCAGGTCCATTTCCCAGCACCTGCATGGTGGCTCACAACTGTGCAACTCCAATTCCAGGGGATCCAACATCCTCTTCTGATACCCATGGGTACCAGGCACATATGTAGTGCGCATGTATACACCCAGGCAAACCACTCATATACATCAAATGAATAAATAAATTTTGGATACTTTTTTGGCAGCTTGGCCCCATAACTGCTATTTAGCAGTTGTTGATAAACCTGAACTCATGATGTGTCAGGTAATCTCCGTGAGGTCTCTGGTCCAGATCTTCCAGAATGAGAAGTGAAAGTGGTGTGGGATCAAAATGAGTTTTGTGTATGAGAATGACACATGCTTGGGAGTCACTGCTACTCTTCCCAGAGCTTAGATTTGGTAAGTGTTAGCTGTCAACTTGTGTCCTTTTGCTTCTTGTTGTTTCTCATTTTGTTTTGTTTTGGGGCAGAGTCTCACTATGTAGCCTTGTCCTGGAACTCACTATGGAGACCAGGCTGGCCTCAGACTCACAGAGATCCACCTGCTTCTCTGCCTTTCAAGGGATGGGATGAAAGGCACGTGCTCTTTTCTTTTTCTTTTTTAAATGTGTAAATGTACCTTGAATCCTGCTATTTCTGGGTTACTGAAAGATGCTTGCGTTTCCATTTGCTATGTCTCAGATTGTTATCTCTGAAGCGATCAGAGAACTCCATGTGTTTATCATGGAACCCTCAGTTTACCTTTCCTCAGTTAGGATGCCTGCACATTGGTTAAATCTAAGCCTTCTAGAGGCTTCTGTTTTATTGGTATACATTGTTAGCTTACTTCTTCTCATCCACCCATGACATCTGTCTAGAATTCTTAACAATCTCCAAAATGCCTATAATATCATTCTACCCTGATGTTTACAGAACAGCTTCATTCAGTCGTCCGAAGAATAAGCCAACTAACTCGTTAGGCTGTAAAGATAAATAAGACCTAACACAGATTCATAAATAGTTCATAATTCTGTTTCATTTTTTTCTAATTTCCAATAGTGTCATTCTTGATTTTGTTGTTGTTGTTGTATTACACATTTGACCAGGGGTTTGCAATAAACTCCAGGCTGGCCTCAAACACATATCCTTTTGCCTTAGCTCCCCAAATGTGGGGATTACAGGGATATACCACCATGCCCAGCTCCAGCTCATTTTTGATTCTGGGTTTTTTTCCTCTTTTGCCACTGAGGATTGAAATCAGACTTCTCACATTCTACCATCAAGCTGTATCCCTAACCCTTTTTTCTACTTTTCATTTTGAGGCAGGGTCTTACTAAGCTGTCCAGGGCGGCTTTGAATGTGTGATCGATCCTCTTGCCTCAGCCTCCTGAGTAGCTGGGACCGCATTCTTCTTGCTGGCTGATGTGTTTCTCCTGTAGTAAAGTTAGCCTCGTGGTGCCCATTCACATCCCTCCTGATGTGTTTCTCCTGTAGGAAAGTTAGCCTCGTGGTGCCCATTCACATCCCTCCTGATGTGTTTCTCCTGTAGGAAAGTTAGCCTCGTGGTGCCCATTCACATCTCTCCTGATGTGTTTCTCCTGTAGTAAAGTTAGCCTCGTGGTGCCCATTCACATCCCTCCTGATGTGTTTCTCCTGTAGTAAAGTTAGCCTCGTGGTGCCCATTCACATCCCTCCTGATGTGTTTCTCCTGTAGTAAAGTTAGCCTCGTGGTGCCCATTCACATCCCTCCTGATGTGTTTCTCCTGTAGGAAAGTTAGCCTCGTGGTGCCCATTCACATCCCTCCTGATGTGTTTCTCCTGTAGTAAAGTTAGCCTCGTGGTGCCCATTCACATCTCTCCTGACGTGTTTCTCGTATAGTAAAGTTAGCCTCGTGGTGTCCATTCACATCCCTCCTCTTCCTTTCCCCAGCGCCACATGCACACACCCAAATGCATTATTCATAGGTGCACCAGAATTGTAGTTTGAAAAGAGGCACTTGGTGTGACCTCTTTCAGGGTACACTCTCCAAGAGAATGTATTGGTGATGGGGAGATTCTGTGTCTCTTGTAGTCGGTATGGTAGCCACTTTTCATAGTTGGCTATTGAGTACTTGAAATACGGAAATTGTGAGTGGAGACTGCATTTTAGATTTAAGTTAAATTAGATTTACATCTATGTTAACATTTTTTAAAAGATTATCTATTTTTATTTTGTATGTATGGGTGTATTTCGCCTATACCAGTGTGTTCCATGTGCATGCAGTGCATGTGGAGGCCAGAAGAGGGCAGCAGATCACCTGGAAATGAGTTACAGACAGTTGTTAGCAGCCATGTGGGTGCTGGGAATAAAACCTGGGTTCTCTGGAAGGGCAGCCAGTGCTGAGCCATCTCTACAGCTCTAGATTAAATTCAATTTAAAAGCCACATGTGGCTAATGGATTTATTGGACATTGCAGATATAAACTGTACTATATTAGGATAGTTTCAACTATTACTTGATTTTTTTTTCCTTTTTGTTTTTTTGTTTTTCCAGACAGGATTTCTCTGTGTAGCTCTAGCTGTCCTTGAACTAACTCTGTAAACCAGGCTAGCCTTGAACTCGTAGGATCTGCCTGCCTCTGGCTCCTGAGGGCTGGGAATTAAAGGTGTGTGCCACCACTCCTGGCTAAAGGAAAACATTCAGTTGCGGCTGGCTTACAGTTCAGAGGTTTAGTCCATTATTGCCATGGCAGGACTGGCAGCATGCAGGCAGACATGGTGCTGGAGAGGGAGCTGAGAGGTCTACATCCTGATCCATAGACATCAGGAAGAGAGAGACACTGGGACTGGCTTGGGCTTCTGAAACGTCAAAGCCCCGCCCCCAGTGACACACTTCTTCCAACAAGGCCACACCTACTCCATCAAGGCCACACTTCCTAATAGTGCCACTCCCTATGAGCCTATGGGGGCCATAGAAAGAGAAGAAGCCAAAGTATGTATTTGCCAATTATAAGATCTTATATACAAAATCTCATAAAGATTACACAAAAGCTCTTAGAACTAATTTAATTCAGCAAAGTAACAGTACAAATCTGTCTTAGGGTTTCTATTGCTGTGACGAAATACCATGACCAAAAAGCAAGTTGGTAGGAAAAGGACTTATTAGGCTTTCACTTCAGCATTGCTATTGATCATTGAATGAAGTCAGGACAGGAATTCAAACATGGCAGGAGCCTGGAGGCAGGAGTTGATGCAGAGGCCATGGAGGGGTGCTGCTTACTGACTTGTTTCCCATGGTTTGCTCAACCTGCTTTCTTATAGAACCCAGGACCAGCAGCCCAGGGATGGCAGCACTCATCATGGGCTAGGCCCTCCCCCATTGATCACTAAATGAGAAAATGCCTTACAGCTGGATCTCATGGAGCTTTTCCTCAGCTAAGACCCCTTCCTCTGACGACTCTAGTTTGTGGCAAGTTGACACAGAACCATTCAGTACAAAGTCAGTTATGTCTCAGATACTAACAATATCCAGTTGTCCTGGTGAGTTTTTTGTCAACTTGATAGGAGCTAGAGTCATTTGGAAGAGGAAACACAATTGAGAAAATACCCACAAAGATTGGCCTGTAGGTAAGCCTTAGTGCCACTCATAGGCTGTTGGTCCTGGATATAGTAAGGAAACAGGCAGAGCAATCCTTGAGGAGCAAGCCAATAAGCAGCACTCCTCTGTGGTCTCTGGTTCAGGTTTTTCCTCCAGGTTCCTGCATTAAGTTCTTGCCCTGACTCCTTTTTGTGATGGATTGATCAGGACATACAAGCTAACATAAATAAACCTCCTCTCCCCAAGTTGCTTTTGGTTGTTGGGTTTTCTCGCAGCAAGAGAAGCCCTAACTGAGACACCAATCTAAGAAAGAAATTGTGCAATCAATTCCATTTATAGTCTATTCAAAAAGAGAAAAATATTTAGTAAATATTTAGCCAAAAAAGACTTGTGTGATGAGAACTATACTTAGAATTAGCAGATGGACTCAGTCAAAATGATTCTGGTTTTGTTTAACATCCAAAGCATCAGAATCAGGAGCCAGCCTCACACACACCTTCCTCTCTCCATCAGGACTGACGTTGACATCATCAGTGTCATAGAGTTTCTTCACAGCCTGCTTGCTCTGGTGCCTGTTGGCCTTGCAATCTCATCGAACACACACCTGACTTGTCGTCTGTCTCTTCAGGGCTGACTCAGTGGTCAGGGGACACGTGATGACAGCACACTGGTCAGCCTTGTTGCTCCTGGAAATGCTCTTGAGAAGGGTTTTTTTGTTTTGTTTTGTTTTGTTTTTTTATTTATTTTTTTTTTTTCTTTTCTTTTTTTCGAGACAGGGTTTCTCTGTGTAGCTTTGCGCCTCTCCTGGAACTCACCTGGTAGCCCAGGCTGGCCTTGAACTCACAGAGATCCGCCTGGCTCTGCCTCCCGAGTGCTGGGATTAAAGGCATGCACCACCACCGCCCGGCTCTTGAGAAGGTTTTGAGCTACTTCAAGAGCCTCGAGGTCTTGGGCTGGGAGGTGGGCGACTTACGGATCTTCTTTCGTGCTTGGTTGTGGACGCCCCTCAGCACTCACTGCCTTCTCTGTTTTCAGAGCCTTTGCTTGGGCTTTGGCCGTGGGAGGGCAGGAGCCCTTCTTCACTTTCAGCACCATCTTGGCAAAAGCTGGAATGTGATTTCGATTCATTTAGATAATTTTATTTTATTTCTCTGTCCCATATTTATCACCATAAGCTACATCATTGTCATTTTTAAAGTCTCTTAAGCATCAGGCTTCAAATGTTTATTTAGATTGTCTAATGATGCACCAAATGAACCCCAAATGGACTAAATATACGCCAAGTATTTTGAGTCCCAGAAAACAAGGAACAGGAGAGAATGCTTAGAAAGTTCTGCTATAGGAATGAAGGGGAACTGAGTGTAGAATT